TAAACTGTGTAAATGCCGGTATTTTCATTTTTTTTTTTTTTCCTCTTTTGTGCCGATCAAAATAATGAGAGTGTAGTGCGGCTGTTCTAGTTTTAAACTTGAATATTTCCTTAGAAAGAATTCAAGGTAAAGTGCCGACCACCATTCCTCTTTCTCCTCCCCCGTTGTAGCTGTAATAACATTGTTTAATTCGAAGAAATATTAAGATTTCTTTGAGTTTCTGAATGTTTTTACTGTTGAGGTTGGCTGTCAAGAAATTTATGTTGAATACTTTTAAGCTTAGTAGGGAAATGATTGTAAGTGATTGGTTTACTGATAGGAAGTGGTGGAAGGTGGTCAACTCAGAGAATGTCACGTTTGACAATAACTGTGAACAGGTTGACTTGAATGACAAAAATTTTCATTAGGGATTACCGTTTAGCATTTGCCTAGATGGGAACATCGGTTATTAGACATGATTTTTGCTGTTTAGTCTCAATAGGAAAATGTTTGGTGTGTGGAAACTGGATGTAAAAGAATACGTATTGGCAACCAGAATAGGTTGATGCGAATGAATTAACCTATTTTGTTTTTATCTGATTTGACTTATTCTGTTCAGGTATCTCCTGAACGGACAAGTTTTTTTTCTTTGTCAGTAGTTGAGACCTCTTTTGTTGTTTCGCTTTCACTTCTAAAATCCTCCCAAATTTCTGTTCGCCCAATAATTAGAGGCCAAGATATGAAAATTATAGAAAGAAATTATGCTATATCAGAACAGCTAGATGATAAAACTGAACGCGAAATTTGTATAATTTGTAGTTATAAAAATTTCAAGGGGAGAGTTTGTTCTGAAGAACTTTGTAATCGTCAATAAGGACGATTAAATGACAGATAGTTGGTCAAATATTTTCCTTTTTCAGTTACTTGACGAATAAACTTTCTTTTTGACAAACTCACCAGTGATTAGATCTTTTCTACATTAGTGTGCCCTCGGCTTTTTCCTCGTCATTCGGAATGAAATAACTGAACGTAGTAACAGAAATGTCTTGGGTTTCTTTCTCGAGGGATCCGAGTATCTCGCCAAAAACGGGCATACTCATCATCGGGGAAAACATGATTTCTCTTCTTTTTTTTTTTGAAGTTCGTCTTTAAGAGTTCAGTTTCTAAAAATCTTTGGGCCACTCAGCATTGGTATCTTCAGTCATATGACTGTTGTATGCCCGGTTTTAGTTATCATAAGTGCATATTATTATTGGTCATGATGTAATGTACCATCAATGTATATATTTTGCACTGATTTTTCTAGCCATGTTTTTTTTCTGCAAAAACAGTGGTTTTTTTAATTCATATCCTAAGTTTTCTCATCACTTTTAGTCTTTCATAAAATTTATTTGTTGGTTGAATGCCACTATTATTTATAATAATTAAAGAGAGATGCTTGGATTTATTCTGCCGATTGTTAAATGGTCATATATGTCTACTAATAAAGTGATTTAGTCCTAATAGCATACACGCATTGTATATGGGCTTTTGGAAACTGTTTGACTTATGTTCAAGAACATAATGAATCCTTGGATGTTTTCATCGAGTGGAGTAGACCCGTAGTTCCCCGATACTTTTCTTTTTTCAAATGTTTTTTTTCCAGTATTTTCTGAAATTGGTTGATGCTTTATGGATGAGCAGAACTCGAGGATTTTTTTTTTTTTGGATTCTAAAATGTTTTTGAAACCTGCGTTGAAAACATGTTTGTTTTTCCTTTTTTTTTTCGCATAATTCATGATTAAACCTGGTAACTGTCGCTAAAGATCTTGTGCGGTAGTTCAGAAACATATATAAATAAGGGAATAAGAGTGGCGCAAACGGACTCCCTGGGGAAATGCTCTAAGTTGGTGACAGTAAGTGGGTTTTTTTCTCGATGAGTGACACGGGCTTTATGCAATTACTTTAAAATTAATGAGCTATGCCAATCAATTTTTTAAGCAAGATGACATCAGTTTTTGACATGATGATATAGAGTTGAAGGCTTTCCCAGACAGACCTGGCAGAGGACAGCAGCCGACTTGCCGGGGTCAGTTTGTCCTGACCAACAACAACACAAGCACGTGACTGACCAGTGGTGGCGTTGATTTCGAAAACTCATATATCGGCCTACCCGCCGAAAGGGAGTTTGCGTGGGGTCGTTAACTAATGAGAATTTGCCGGGCAAATTAAAAAACACCCCCTCTTCCCAATAGGTCGGTTGCGCAATCGCAGTCGGCATCCTTAACAGTGAAATTGTA